AACCATTCTGTGATTCTATGATACGGGACCTTTAAAGGCCATCTGGTCTACCCTGCCCACCACGGACAGTGCTATCAACTACATCAGGTTGCTCAGAGCCCCATCCAATCTGATTAACAAGGCATCTACCACCTCTCTGGGCAACCTTTTCCAGTGTTTCACCACCCTCATTGTAAAAAACTTCTTCCCTGTATCTAGTCCACACTTTTCCCCTTTTAGCTGGAAACCATTACCGCTTGTCCTGTCACTACAGGCCCTGCTAACAGGTTTATCCCCATCTCTTCTTATGAGCCCCCTTTAAGTACTGAAAGGCTGCAATAAGGTATCCTTGTAGCCTGCCCTTCTCCAGGCTGAACAACCCAAACTCCCTCAGCCTTTCCCCATAGGAGAGGTGCTCCATCCCTCTGACCATTTTTATGGCACTGTTCTGGACCTGCTCCAACAGGTCCCTATCTTTCCCATGCTGAGGGCCCCAGAGCTGGATGGAGTACTCCAGGTGGGGTCTTACCAGCGCAGAGGAGCAGAATCACCTCACTCAACTCGCTGGCCACACTGCTTTTGATGCAGCCCAGGATATAGTTGGCCTGAACTGTAAGCACACATTGTTGTGTCCAGCTCTTCATTCACCAGTATCCCCTGGTGCTTCTTGGCAGGGCTAATCACAATCCCTTCATTCCCCAGACTGTACTGACACTAAGGATTGCCCTGACTCAGATGCAAGATCATGCACTTAGTACATATGAACCTTATAAAGTTCAACAAGGCCCCGCTCTTAAGCTTGCCCAGGTCTCTGGATGGCATGCCATCCCTCAAGCATGTCAGCCACACCACTCAGCTTGGTGCCATCTGCAGGCTTCCTGAGGCTGCACTTGATCCCACTGTTTATCACTGGTGAAGACAGTACAGGTCCCAGTATCACCCCTGAGGGACAGCACTTGTCACCAATCTCCATCTGCACACTGAGCCATTTACCACTATCCTCTGGATGCAACCATCCAGCCAATTCCTCATCCACCACACAGTTCACCCATGAAATCAAACTCTCTCCAATTCAGAGAAAAGGATGTTGTGGAGGACCACATCAGTGCTTTATGAAGGACACCAGTGAATGTAATCCAGTGTTTTACTTAACTTGTCACTCAGTCTCCAAGATAAAACAAGTCACAAGCCAAGAATCTGAATGAGCTTTTCCACTTAAAGGAATTCGGATTAAAAAAAAAAAAAGCAAGGCAACATCTCAAAAGGTATGACAGTCAGAGGCTGACTACTTCACACTGATATTTAACTGTACTGAATTCCTCAGCTATGGAATTGTTCCCTCAGTGTAGAGGCTGGAAGCTGGAGTGTTCATATCAGAACTAAGGCTGGAAAACAAAGAAAATCCTACACTGGACAGTTTAAGGCATGACTAACACAGTGACTCAGAAGCTTACTCCACATATCCCATTGGAAAGAATTCGTGCTCATGTGAACTCTCAAGGATCTTTACTCAGAATGGCCTACTGGGTCTTCAAGTGTCTGTTTATCCCAGTTCTATGGATCCCTAGGGAAAAATAAAGGCAAGGAAACCTACTTCCTAAATAGCCTCCCATCCTCCAATTGGTTTCCACACTGAGGATTTCCTGAGCCAGATAATTTGCCTATTTAGAGACAGCACAATGGTGTTCTCATTAGTTGACCAGTCGCACTGAAGCTCATGCAAGCTTTTAGCATCACCAGCATCCCATGACAAAAAGCTCCAGCAATGTGCTGTGTGCATAACAACCAAGTCAGCAACCTGAACACGAGTCAGCAGTGCACCACTGCAGCAAGGGCAAATCGCATCCCTGGCCCCATTCAGAGGTATTATGAGTGCAGAGCGCGATGTGAACATCCCACGCTACTCGGCACTTATCAGGCCACTCCTGGAAGACTGTGCCCATTTCTAGCTCCCACAGCTGAAAAAGGAGATAAACAGAGCAGATACAGCCAAAAAGGAGAGCTGTGATGATCAAAGGGCTGGAGAAACTGCCCTGAGAGGAAAGGCTTGGTCTTTTATTCCTGGAGAAGAAAAGGCTTAGGGGAGAACTCACAGTATTCCACTACTTCAAGGGCAGGTACAGAGAGGACAGAGGCTCTCTCTTCACAAGGAGCCACACTGAGAAGATGAGAGGCAATAGGTACAAGTTGCACCAGGAGAGGCTTTGTCTTGATACAAGAAAGATTGCCAGTGAGAACAATCATTTCCTGGAATAACTTCCTCAGGAATGTGGTATAATCCCCAACACTGAAAGTTTAAGATGTGATTGGACAGGGTGCTAAATAATCTCATCTAAACTCCCTTTCCCACAGAAGGTTCAGCCAGATGATGTTTCTGAGGTCACTGCCACCCTGTGCTGTTCAACGGTTCTATAAGCCTCTCTGTTTTTCAGCGTATTTCCTACTTCAAATGAAGGCTCCTCAGAGCATTATTTTATCAGAAAAGGCAAAAACAGTTTCATCCATCCTTTCCATGCCACTCAGAATTCTGAAGTATCTTCATTTGCCTCCTCTCCCAGCCTCAGAGTCTTCAGTCACTTCCACTCTTCACACCTTTTCCTCCTCAGTCATTTTGGCAAGTTTTATCTTACTATTCTAGAAACTCCCCAGTCTCCTTAGCACACCCTTTCTCCAAAAGTTGTAGCAAGAATAACCAATACTGCTATTTTCTTACCTTCTCCTTTAGGAGCCCTCAAGGAACCTAGAATTCAAATCCTGACTGACAGCAGTACCATACACTAGCACAGGATACTACAAGGTAACTCCAATGCTGCCATATAATCTAATGGCCTGTAGGAGACAGGACACACCTGCAGGTTTTCCAGAACAGCAGGTTTTCCTCTGTACCTACAAGTAGCACCAGTGCACAGAACCGAGCCTGAGTCACACAAGACAGAACTGGTATGCACAAGCTGCTAGTCCAGTGCTAAGCTGCTAACAGCTGTGGGCTGTCTGCAGTACCCAAGAAAACTTATAAAGCACGTCCTGTCCCTGCAAATGGTGGGCCTAGCCGTCCCAGATCAAGTGGAATTTGGAATCCAAACTTGACCACAAAAGCATGAGAGTTCAGCTCAAAAGACATGGATCCACCAACTCACTTCATTATGTTGTCAATTGTGACAAGTTAACAGGATAAAGTCTTCTTCACTCTTTCTTGACCTATTCCTTGTGCCAAGCAATATATAAGCACTTCTAAGTATAGGGAAGTTGTTTTCTTACTCCTGTGGCTCACCTTTCTCCTAGTCATTAAAACACTTCTCCCTGTCCCTACCATCTGCATGCACATTAATGCCAGGGAATACAGCTTCCTGCTTCTAATGAAGCCTGCATGGATCGCAGAAGCATCCACATGTAAAACGAGCAAAGAAAACAGTACAAACCTGCGATAGCGGGGACGATAGGTAGGATTCCTATGGACTTGCTGATGAAGCTGTCCTCCTTCTGTGACCCCATCCTTGACTTCTCCCTCACCACCCTACAGCCAAAAGAACACAGAAGACCAATTCAGATATGAAGTCTTATTGCACAGGCAGTATATTAACTATAAAGCCCAATAGTCTAAACACAAGTTCAAAAAAAAAAAAACAAAACACACCCAGTAAATCAGTTCTGAAACACCAGCATACCAGGTGGGGAAAAAAAAAAATTTTGATACTCAGGATGTTTAAGTTTGGGCAAAGACTAAATTAGGAGAGAACAAGAGACAACAGAGCTGCCCTTGCTCCTCACAGGCCTGATGAGGCCTCCTCCCTGACTGCCATGAAAGGCAGAGAACCTGACAGCTCTCTCCAATGCATACAGAAGTACATTTCAAGCCAGGACATTGCATTCTGAGCGGAAAATGTGTTATGGAAAGGCAGCTATTGATCAGGACACTTCTTAATTTCAAAAGCTAACTGAAACTTGCCACAGACCACTTTGTGGCCTCACTGCATACAGAGTCCTACTCCACAGAGAACTCCCACAAAAGCATCAGCAAATATAAGGACAGAAAAAAACCCTAATACATAATGTCAAATACTCTTCTACACACTCAATATTTTCCACCTTTCAGAGATTCAGTGTTAATCTTTCCCCTTTAGTTGTAAGTTGATAAAGCTGTATTGCAGTTTGGTTTTTTAAACTGTCAGCCATCAGTAATCTCTGTTCTATAAAAAAAGTTACAGTATTTACCATTCCCATTACTAACTACCCTTCCCTTTAAAAGAAGGAATTTAACAAGAGATGGACTTCTGTTTCCAGATCTTCTGGATCTGATCCAGCAGGAACCAAAAGCTATTGCTTCCTGACAGCCTTCAGTAGTCTACACGAAGTTTGACTGGTCTCCTTCCAACTCCACACAGCTATTTTAACCTACCACCATCATATTTTGCTCTGGTTTTTAACTGGCAGTCTCAGGAAACTGCATGGGCTGCAAATTTCTTAACTAAGTTAACATGATAATTGGCATTGAGAAAAGATGGAGTGTTCTAGGTTATAACAAGAAATCTTGGGGAATTTAATGAACCTGAGTGATCAACCTGGACAAGCTTCTCCTCTCACTGCAGTAAAATACCCTCCAGGTGCATTAACAATTTCAAGTTTCCAAGTTTCCAAAAAGCAGAGACATGGCCTAAAGGCAACCAGAATCTTTTATACACAGTACCTAGAAATAGCTATACCAGCTCTATTCTTAACAATGTGACAAGGTCAGCTGCTGAGGTGAGTAGAGAGAAATAAGAACTCAATTAGAAAAAAAAAAACAGAATCATAAGTAACATTATCCATTTTGTTCTCTCATGTATAAAACTGATCAGCATAACTAAATACCAGAAGGAACTCCCACTAAGTAAGTAGTCAGTAATAACAGGTTAGCATCTGATGCAGTTGAGTCTCGGAACCCAGAAGGAAAGTTGCACTTCTGAGTTTACAACAGCATCATATGACTCACACCTACTTGGCGCTATCAATCTGCCTTGTTTGTATCAAGGTGCATACCTTACTAGCAGAACTGCGAGAGTTGGGCAGAAGTGCCTCAGACAGTAAGATGAAACAGCACTGCTGGGATTGTGTGGCAATAGTGACTCAGAAGTCTTGGAATTTGCCTGTTACGAAGCAAGGACCTACTGCTGCTCCCACTCTCTTCTTCATGTGAAGACTGGCAAAGCACAGAAACAGAAGAGAGCAGCAAGATACAAAGGGAAGAGAGGATGCAAAACGAAACCAATCCTGAACATGTTACAGCATAATCCCCATTTCTCTTCTCCAGGATTTCTGAGCACAGACATGTGGAATCAGCACTCAGTTCTAGCACTACAATTTCAGAAATACAGCACCATGAAGGCCTATTAGGTCTTGTCTGAGGGACAGCATGCCAGAAGCTAACAAAGCATCAACCAACCTAATTGTAGGGAGGCACACACAACAATATTTTTTATCAAAGCTCTTTTCTAGCACCTGACAAATCAGCATCACATTCACAGCTCTTAAAAAAAAAGTGCTGAATTTCTACATGTTTTCATTGGCAGAGCCCAAGGCCATTCCTCCCTACAACAGGCTGCACTGGAATCTCACATAAAAGACTCTTTCTTGTAGTGATGGAAAGAATGACCAACCTGATCATAGAACTGTTCTGGTTGGACAACACCTTTAAGATCCAGACCAACCACCAACCTAACACTGCCAAGTCTACCCTAAATCATGTCCCTAAGCACTACATCAACTCATGTCTTAAATATCCCTAGGGATGGCGACTCAACCACTTTCCTGGGCAGCCTGTTCCAATGCTTGACAACCCTTTCAGTGAAGAAGTTTTTCCTAATACCCCATGCGAACCTCTCCTGGCACAACTTGAGGTTGTCTCCTCTTGCCCTATCACTTGTCACTCTAGAGAACAGACCAACACCCACCTCCCTGCAATCTCTTTTCAGGAAGTTAGAGAGTGATAAGGTCTCCCATGAGCCTCCTCTTCTCCAGGCTAAAACAACCCCAGTTCCCTCAGATGCTCCTCACAGGGCTTGTGCTCTAGACCCTTGCCCAGCTCCGTTCCCTTTTGCGGACATGCTTCAGCATCTCAGTGTAGTGAGGGGCCCAAAACTGAACACAACACTTGAGGTGTGGCCTCACCAATGCCAAGTACAGGGGCACAATCACTTCCCTGGTCCTGCTGGCCGCACTGTCCCTGATGCAGGCCAGGATGCCGTTGGCCTTCTTGGCCACCTGGGCACACTGCCGACTCATATTCAGCCACTGTCAACCAACACCCCCAGGTCCTTTTCCACCACACAGCTTTCCAGCCCCTCGTCCCCAAGGTGGTAGCGTTGCACAGGGTGGTTGTGGCCCAAGTGCAGGACTCAGCACTTGGCCTCACTGAACCTCATACAGCTGATGAAGCATTACTCAAAAACAATGTAAACATTCTCATAGTGATCTTGAGTCAAATGCTGCTATGTCAGTATTTTAAATGTGTTTGGCGTAAACAATCAGTTGAAAACAGACTAGCAAAGCAACTGAATTGCTTAGCCCAGAAGTCCTAATAATTTCCTGTGTCTTCTGTAGGATCATAAAAATTCAATTAACACATTACATGAGTATCAGTGTCAACTGATCCAGGTCTATTGTCCAGAAGAGAAGTATGGCTCCAGAAAAAAAAAAAGTTATGCTGTCAGAAGTCACTGAAACAGATGCAATTTGACCAGAAAACAGAACCTGAGCTTTGAGCTCTTATTTTCCTGTACTGACAGTAAGTATATTATATAGAAAGCTTTGTTTGTACTGTTAAGAGCACCACACATATGATCCTGTTCCCCCAGTCTCCTCCAGGAGTCTGAGCTCAGTGTAGTATCTTCCAACAAAACATTAGGTCATCCTAAAAGATGAATGAATGAAGCTGGCCTGCTGCACTCTACATTTTCCTCTGAAGAAGACCAAGAGAGGCTGCAATTCTCCATGAAGTTCTTACGCAGATTTCTCTAACCCTAAAAAGGTACAAAATTTTATTGCTGTTTCCTAAATAAAATGTTTTGTAAGCAATAACTGTAACTGCAATGAACTTTCTACCCATCTGCTTCCCTTAATTTCTTCATTTGTGCTTACATCTCTTCCAATCAGTCTCTAGTTTTCCTATAATGCTATTCATATTTTCATGTCTCCTCTCTACGAGAAATAGCCTATACAACAGCTCTCAAACTATTTCACCTATTTTCTGGCTCACTGGTATAGAGGCTTCTTCTGTTAGTACTGCACACAGAATTTAGCTGAGGACGTTATCAGTTCTCAAGGATATTCCATGATTTATAACAACTTTCTGACTACACCTCCACACCATGTCTGCTATCAGACAGATTAGCAAGAGACCACAACCTCTTTTCTGTAGTGGATACAATTAAGAAACTTCTGATATGAACAAGTACTACTTTCCACAGAAAAATCTATGCAATCCAGGTGTAGTTCCACTGGAGTCCGTTAAATACCAGATTCCTCAAAGTTCTCTTCACTCCTGAGAAATTTACACAATGTGTCCAAGAACAGACCCAGTAGGTTAAAACACACAATACAGACATTTGAGCCAGCATGGCAAAGGATAGCATCTTTAGTTTACCTAAAACCATGTCAGCGAGGAAGGAGAAATCAGCTCTTGCTATGAGGCTGGACTGGAGTTGCTAACTGACATCAATTAGAAGTTCTTGAAACCTAGAAGATACCATGTTAAAAGTCACCTCAACAACCTAAACTTCCCCCCCCACCCCCGCAATAAATAAGCATTGATGACATGGAGAGCTGAGCTCTGGGAAAACCTTTCACCTCTGCAGCCCAGTAGGTCTTTAAGTATAGTAGGACCACATGCAGTGGCACCTGAAAGAAAGGGTTTCACCAGAGTTGCCTGCAGCCGAGTAAACATCCTTTTAGCAAACACAGCCCAAGAGTGCTATACCAACAGCAACTTAAACTTGTCTCAGAAATACCCTGCAGGGCAGTTAGCCAGAAAGAATTCCTCAAGTAGACAGACACAACCTTTAACACACCTGTTAATGGGACCAAACAGAATAGCGTGTGCATACTGTTATGCCTCTCAGACATGGCTACCTTTCTTTCCCCCTCTACACATATGGGAATGGAAGTGTCAGAAGAGACCTTATTAAAGAACAAGGATATTACAGAGAAGCATCTGGATGCAGTAGACATGCAGTTTCAATGTGAATAATGTTAACTGATGCAAGTGAAAAATCTCCAAAAGGAAATACTGATAGGATTCAGATGAGGATTCACTCCACTTCCAACTGATCTATCAAAGCTAGCACACAAAGGATGGCAAGAACATCTGGGCAAGTTTGGTTTCACTTACCTACACTAGGACAACTTCAGGGGCAGTCCCTGCACAGGCTTCTTTAAATTGGAGCCTTGACTTGTCCAGGCAACTAACGGGTGACTGGGTAAGAAGGCCCAGCAGCACTGGCTGCACCTCAAAACTAGCTCAGAACACAAGAAGGGTCCACTGCCGCATGTGGAAAGCTGAGCAATCCTAGCAGAACATTAATTTTGGTTGCATGAGGAATTCCTGACAGAGCTTAAATGTGAAAAGGAAGTATCACTCAAGTCTTATACATACAGGTCTGTCAGACAACACAGGATGAATTCAGGAGTGCTGCAGAAGCTGGCTAATGTCACTGCCTGGCCAGTATCATCTTTCAAAGGTCACAGGAATCATGGAGTCTACCTTGTTACCTGTTAGAGGGGCATGCTAACAGAAAGGTACTATAAGGTCTTCATCATACTTGAAAGAAACAGAATTTACTCTTAATTTTAACAGATGATACTAAACCCAGATGAGCAGTCAATTCATCAATGAGCAGGCCTGACATTGAGAGAATACTTAACAAGCTGAAGAGTATCAGTAACAAACCTCATGAGCGATGTGAAACAAACATACACTCTGGTTAACATCCTTTTGTAAATACCATTTACAAGTTTTGAAGGCTGCAGTTCTTCCACAATCAATGATCACAGAGAAAGAGCGGTATGTTTTCAGTTACAAAGTGAGAGATGACTTCCTAGGACATCAGGCACTAGCCACACAACAGCTACGGTCTCGTACCCACACCAAAACAGTCTGGGAACTCAGATATAAGCAAGCCAAAGGATAACAGGGATATCTTAATTTGTTTCCCTTGTGTACATCTTCAAGCATGTGCTGGTAACTGTCACATGCAAACCACATTTTTAGCTGCATGAGTCTGCATTAGACATCCAAGAGAGCATGTTCCAGCATGAGTACCCCAAGGCTGAATGTTCCCCATGTCCAAGATGGGTCTCACATTATCACGCTTCAGGCAGAAGGAAACAGCTGCTTTTCATACTCCGCAGTACACAGGAGTGTCTAAACTTATTTAAAATCCAAAGCAGCTCCCAAACAACACCAATATCACCAACTAAAGCATTCACTCCCAAGAAAGGCAATTGACAGAAATTTTAACCTCAGGAGAGCAAAAGAAAACAGAATCAATAGTGGAAAGTAGCTGGTTGATGAGCTAACAGATAAAACCAGACACATCAAAAAGCAGAACAAAACCAAGTATCCTAGTTCTTTGCCACCTGGCATGTAAGCTGAAGCTATAAACTGTATTGCCACAAAAACAAGGACAGCCTGAGTAGTAAGTATTCATCAGTTACCAGCACCAACTTCTAGCAGGCTCTAAGGGACTCAAAGAACATCTTTCATGTATTTAGGGCTCAGGGGTGTCCAGCAGGATTAAAAGAAGAGACCTCATGATAGTTAGTATAAACAGCCAGGCTTTAGACAAGATTTGACAGCACCTAGTTTGCCCCCATGCTGCCAACTCTGTAAAACAAGATGAGAAGAGTTATGTTGACTGGGCAGAGACTTCCACCAGAGCTCTCATATTAAATCATTCACACATTCCTGCAAGTGATGATCCCAGACTAAATGATGAAAGAAAAGGATCAGGCGTGGAGTACATTCCAATTTGTTGGATTGTTCTAGAAACCAATTTAGCACAAGCACAATGTGGATAGGTGTAGTAACTGCCAGAACTACAGCCATGTAGTTCATTACTTCTCCCTCTGCAAAAACCCACAGGGACATTGCTTAGGAAGGCTTGCAGGTGTTATGAGAAGTGGTGCACAGCTAGTTTAAAGAAAAAAACCCCATTACCTTCACACTGTAGGTGTAGGCCTATGAAGAGATGATACATGAAGGTTTCAACTAGTTGGTCAAACTGCTACCATGCCATGCAAAAATGATGAATTTTTAAGCTCATCTGTTTTTTTCAAGTAACCTGTCTAAATTATGGTTATATTACATACAGTAACACAAATACTTCCCCTTGCTTCAGGTAAAGGGCATGGTGTACTAGTTAAGGTATCCATTTATTTGAAAAGGAAGTACAAAGGGGTGAGATACTTAACACAATGCTTTTATAACAAGCATGGATGAAACAAAAGGACCTGGATACTTATAACATAATTCTAGAAAGACATTCCAAATAATGGCCTACAGGACATCCAATAATAGAAAACATCAGTATCAACATCACTGATGAACGTGCACATTCTTCCTCTGCACTTAGGAGGAAAGAGGAAGAGTTTGAAATACAGCTTGTGCTCTGCATATGATAGAGCTGTCCAGTCTTAACTGAGATCTTCAGCTGTTTCAGTACAAGTGATCGGGAAAGAATTAAACCCTTTACCTGCAGTGAAGATAATGATTTTGGTATCGGTATATAGCATGTATGGAAAACTAGCACTTGCAGCTGATTTCTAAAGAAGGTCAGTTAATATTAATATTCCTGTTCTGGTAGGAACCCAGAATATTACTGAATAACACTCACAACCTGGGTAAACATTGACAGTTTACTGCATGTCAGTGCTAAACCTGCATTTCCCTCACATGAAAAGATCAGAGGACTCCTGAGGTAGGATGACCATGACTAAAGAAATTAACACTTACACTTCGAGGAGGTCCACGGCGTCGGCCAAAATAGCCACGTCGATAGCGGCGCCGGTCTGCAGCATAGCGGCTGCCTTCTACAGGGACTCCATCTGGACCAGTGACATTAGCTGCTTCTGCACCCTAAAAGGCCAAAAGAAAAGTTAGCCAGGGTGGTGCAAGAAAACAATGTACTACAGGGAGAGGGGGAAGGGAGAAGATGCAAACAAGCCTCGTTCCCGTTTCATCAATTCCAAGCAAGAGATCCCTTCCTCCCAAGCAGTGCAAAAGCAGGTATGTTATTCTCAACTCTGTAACACATGATTAACTGTTGTGTTAAGGCCCTATCAGCCAGGCTGAGTTCAGAGGAAAAAGTGAAGGAAAAGAAGAAGTAACTAAAGAGAGAAAAAACCCACCCACCCAAAATCAAAGAGAGCTCAGAAAACTCAAGAAGTTTGTTTGAGAAAGCAGAAGTACAAACAACTTTAAGGTCCCTGCAGTTATTAAACTACCAGACTCCAAGACAAATTTTTCAGGGCAATACAAGCATCAGTTAATGCTTATAGGGCAGCCTGCAAGGTTCAAATACTTTATGAAGTAAAAAAAAAAAGTAGATTCTAGAAGTACTAAGATGCAGTAAAAGTAGAGTTTTGACACATATCCAGAAACACTTCTTGATATCCACCAGATATATACCTAAGGTTCTATGTTACTCCCCCACTGGAGTGATGGTAACTCTGTTGGACCACACCCTTAAATCTCCATAATCTCTCACCTTCTCTCCCTCTACCACATCAAATTCTACAGTTTCTCCATCACCAACACTGCGCAGGTATTTCCGTGGGTTGTTTTTCTTTATCGCCGTCTTGAAAGAAAGAAGATACAGAAAAATATATTAGTTTATCTTACTCATTATCTTACACATTCACAGCCCTGCAGGGAAGGCAAGGACGGTATTCTTCTGCTACAATCCCAATTCTACATACCAGCCTGTCAACTACAGATGCCTCTCACTCCACGGAGTATTTCTAGGATTCCACAAAAGGCAGTTACCAACAGAAACCCACTATCTGTTCATTATGTAAGGGTTCACAAACTGGCAAATGCCAGGGAAAAACAAACAAAAACAAACAACCTAAAAAAACCCACACCAAGACACACACCACACCAAACCAAACCACACACATTATACAGGCCAATCTAGTAGCTGGGTTTTTAGTGAAGTTCTCCTAAAAACCAATCCACTTAAAGTTTTCACAGTGCATGGCAACTACAGTCATACACTCAACAATAGTCCAAAAATACTTCC